GCCACACCTGTGGGGTTCCCGGGGTTGATGATGCACAGCACCTTGGGGTCACAGTGCTCCTTGGCCTCCCGCACGGCCCGCCGCAGCTCCTGCACGTTCAGGGCCCAGCAGTTGTCCTCGTCCAGGTAGTAGTTGACCTGCACGGCGCCCAGCTCGGAGAGGACCGCCGAGTAGAGGGGGTACTGCGGGATGGGGATCATCACCCCCGTCCGCGACTTGCCGCCCCCGGAAACCAGGATCTTCAGGATCGTCTGCAACGGAGACAAATCGCATCGTCCAGGGCCACCGCCGCCGCCAGCAGATGAGCCGGGGCCCCAGCCCAGCCTCTCCCAGCCACCCCGGGGACGGGGCCACCTCACTCCCTGAGCCTCACTGTCCTCATCTGTGAAATGGGATCTGCCGTGGGAATAAGCAAGATCAAATGCTCTCATGTTCCCGGCACCGTGCCCGGCAGAGGAGGTACGCGGTTCGAGCCGAGTCAGAGAAAGGCCACGTCGCCAGAAGCGGGGGCTCCCCGAGGGCCCCAGGGTCCCTCCCCCGCTGGACCTGCTGCTGTGGGCTCTGTGGGAAACCGAGGCTGCAGCTCCTCGGGCTCCTGAAGACGGAACAAGGTGAGGACCGCAGCTCCCGGGGCGGGGGGAGAGCAGGGACCAGGAGGCCCACGCGCTTGCCCGTCACGTGCCAGGCTGCCCTTCATGGCTGAGCAGCGGCTCACCACCAGCCCCCCCCCCACGTACAGTGATGCCGTCGCTGGCGCCAGTGGTCAGGTAGATGTTGTCGGGGTCCGCAGGCACGCCGTCCCGCCGGGTGATGTAGGCAGCCACGTCCTCGCGGATGCAGTTAACGCCCTGGCTGGCGCTGTAAGACCCTGCGAGACACCCAGCGACTCGGTGACCAGGGCCAGTCGGCCATAGAGGAGGGGGTTTTGGGGGGCTTGGTGGGGCCCGACTCCCACTGCTCTAAGCTCCGGAATCGTGGCGAGCTGTTGAGCACCTACCTGGGCCTCAGCCACCCACTAACCTAAACACCCACCCTCTGTTCTCCCACCCACCCAGCCACCCACACATCCACCCAATATTCGCTGAAACCTTGGCTTCTAACCAGTGAAATGGTGCCCGTACCTGGGTCACCTGCCCCCTGGGGTTTATCCACAGCCTGTGACAGTATCAGTCATGACAGCTGGGATTGCTGTTTTATCACCAGTGCCTACACGTGGTCCACCGAGCCGGACAATGTGCCACCCACAGTGCACCGCCTGCCCACCCAGGGGTCCGCAGCCCTGACCAAAACCAAGCCCAGGTCCCGGGGCTGCTGGGCATCAGCCCTCCTCCCACCCCATTGAGGGTCAGAATCGGGGTCACCCTCTGCACGCAGTCAGACAGGCAAAGCGCGTTTCCCATGCCGGGCGTTGGCGCTATGGCGACGGCTCGGGTGTCGACTGGGAGGCGACAGAAGGTTGCCGTCCTCCTGCCCCCGGCTCCCCCGCCCCCCGAATTCCCAGGCCCTCGCCTGCCGGCCGCCCCGGCTCCTCAGACCTCCCGGCCTTTGCCTTTAGGTCTCGTCATGCTCCAACCCACGCGGAGCCCCCAAAGCTCCCACCTCGTCCCTGCGGGTCTGTCCCGAAGCCACTGCCTCCCCAGCCCGTCCGGCCTGATTCCTGTGGCTTCGCTCTCTGCCGGGGACCCGGCTGCTCCCCGTGCTGAGTCCTGGGGGGCGGGGACCACGGCCGCTTCTCCGAGCCTCTCCGCCCGAGCACCTGTCCCCCCTGAGCCCCCCCAACCCCTCACCCCGAGGGGCCACCTCTCAGGACCAGCCCGGAAGGTGAGCACAGGGCTCTGCATAAAGGGACAGAGTCCAGGGGGAGCGGAGGGCGGGCAGATGACAGAGGCCGAGGTGGCTGTGCCCTGCGGGGCGAGCGCGAGCATCCCTTTCCGGAACATTCGGGCGCGCGTCCTAAAAAAGCTCTAAGAGCAACTGTGTTCCCCCCGGGTCTACAGAGGGAAGCCGACCCCCTGCGCAGGCACTGGGCAAGGAATGGGGCCAAATACACAGAAAAACCAACAGGAGATGGGAACAAAGGCCGAGTCCCTTCTCCGCAGGGAAGGGAGAGAGACTTATTTTCACATCACGGGGGCCTGGCTCTGGGGGGACGCTGGGCTGGGCAGGGCAGGGCAGGGCTCCCAGCAGAGAGACCCTTAGGCCTGGAGATGGGAACAATGAAGTGTGTGTGGGAGGTGGGGGCGGGGGGGCGGCCAGTGGGAACCATGGAAGCTGCCAAAAGGGGGGCCGAGGCCTGTGGCCGCGCTATCCTTCCCCAAGGACGGACCG